AAGAAGCAGAGAGCAGCCTCCCTGCCCTCACCCTCCTTACCTCCTTTTTATAGTCCATTGCCTCTGAGATTTTGGCTTTTCTTTTGCGCAGGAGGGCGGTTGCTGGGCGGATAGATAGACTGCTGAGTCATCCTTCACCTTTCAGATGTCGGCTGGCGATTGGAAGGGAAGTCATTCTGGTACAGGAGAGATCTGTCTTCTCAGTACCCTGGATTTGTCAGAAGAGGTAGGGCGTAGGATAGGTCGGCTGTGTGGCCGTCCTTCTCTCTCTAGGTGGTGGCTGGCGATTGGAGGAGAAGTCGTTCGTGCACAGGAAAGCATCATGACAATCTTCTGGAAAATGACTTGTAAGCCGAATAAGCGGTTTGGGCACGAGGTTTGTCAGAATGGAGATCTTGATGGGTCTGATCAATATTGTTGTGTCGATTGACATCTGAAGTGAACTTGGTCGGCTCTTATCCCTTTAGCCGAGGCGGGTTGATCTGGGAGCTATCATTATGATTTGGCGACCCGATAGTCGAGTGAGCTTCGGGTCGGGTATATAGTCGAGTCGTCTGTTGGAGGAGTCGTCTTAATTGCGAGAGGGCGACTGATCCCGTACTTCGAGTCGGTCATGATGATCCTTGATCGAAATATGACTTGTCTGTTCGGCCGGTCGAGGGACTTGGCATTGACTGGGCTTTTGAGCCTCTAAGTTGGTTTGGACCATGGCTTCCTTGGGCTTATGTATTCTCCCGACATTTCTATCTTTGGATGGTAAATTACCATAACAGAACCCTTACGGCCTTCGTGTTGGTGTGTGTGCGCGTGCGCGTGTGCGGAGATAGCAGAGATTTGGTTCCTCTCAAGGGGCTTCAAAGTCATACCCAGCCTATTTGGAGATATAAAGTTAACAAGAAATTGGCTTGCTTAAGAGGGTAAACTATTTGCTTAAATAAGCTGTCAAGCTTATATAGTCTCTAAGCGACTCAAGTGCCTAAAGGTCCCTCAAGTAGGGCCATCAGGGAATTCAACCCACTGGTTACACGTACGTGTCATATATTGTATGAGACTGGTTGGTAGGATCCTTTCTATAGTGCCAATCTGTTATTGTTGTGATTCTGTGAAAAATACTGTATGAATTGAAGAAAGAGACAAATTCTCATTCAAAAAGGAAAAGGAAAACATGAACTTTGCAAGGGCTAAGACGATGACTCTGGTCCTTGTTTGTCTTTGACATTTACATTTTATGCTGAATTTTCTTGTCTAGCCTATCTATTTCTTCCATTGTGTTGACCTGATACTGATATACTCTTCATTTATCTGTCATCAGGGGCATCCTTGCTGCAACTGACACCTTCTCTGATCATGTATTGGTTGGGATGACTAATATGCACATTTACTTCGAAAGTGTTTTTTTAAGTTCTTGCAGTGGCTAATTCAATACTGTTACAACAGAAAGATTGGTTTGCATTCAATATTCTCGTTGAAACTATATCCAAAGGCCTTAAACGTAAACATGGAAGTTATGATATCAAATTGCTAAAATTCATTTTTCGATATTTTTATTTTTGTGTTCGTAGAGTTTTTGAGCTACATGATTATACAATAGATTTGTACATGTTAACCCTGAAGTTCTACTCACTTATATACCAGGTCACAAAGTAGACTAGTAGAGCTAAGAAGCTTTTATCTTTTTCTTTTTCATTTCTTTTTTCAATTTTGCAATGGTCCAATTGCCCATGTACATGCATTGCACTATTATGGCTAACACATTATATGGAACCTCTTTATTCTGATCAAGGATTCAAGGGTGAGGTGACTGTCAAACAAGACTTTTCTGAGAAATTTTTCTGGAAGAAGTCTTTCCGAAGTTGCTCATGCTCTATTCCTTTAATTCCTATGCTATCTGGCAGGTCTGCGAAGCCATGTATCTTCCTACAAATACGGTTTAGACCCTTAGACAATAAGCTTCAGTATCATGTAGTAAACCTGAAATTTCCTTTCAAATATTCCATTTATTCCACTGGCAAGGCTGTCAATGTATCCCAATGGCAAGGCTGCCATCACTGTCCACAATGTAGTTCTTGCCTCTATAATCAGCCTTCCTCTGTATATCAGCATCATTCATGGCAAAGCACATAAGTGATAAATGTAGAAGTATTTTCTATATCTCATATCCGGAAGTTGGGTAGGCATGCAGCTGAAGCCTGCAGTAAACTGAGACCTTTATGAGTCACAGACATTTGTTTCCAGTTTAACACTGATTTAATGCACATTTACATAAAACAAAAAACACTAACATTTCTCATATTATTGCGGATATTTTACCTGGGTTGGATTATTTTGCTTGGAAACGGTTTTAAGCTTGTGCGTGCTTCAGGCAAGTGAATGAACTTCTTATGTTTTTAGTATTAACCGGTCAAAACTCATTTGACCTCTTGTGCTTGCATAAATATTGCATTCTTCTTGCCTTATATTGGCCCTTGGTGATTTCAACTTGAACTGACTTACCCATGGGGAGGTTTTAATACGGAAAAGCTCATAAGCAAATACATGGGAGATATTTGCTGGCTCTTACTGGAGAATTTACCCTTAAAAGAGAGCTTTCTCCCTTCTTTCTGCCTCCTCTTCCTCCCCTTTAAGGGACTTCTACTTAAAAATGTGTCAATTTAGGTTGATTTAGGGATTCTATTAATTTTATGTATTGTAGTAGTTTGAAGAAACAAGAATCTGCATTGAAGCGTATAAGTAGAAGATGTGCTTTTTTTAATACATTTTATTATCTGATAGTTTCCCAGCTATCAACCTATAAATAATGTATAAAATTTGAAGCTTTTTACTCGTTAACTGAAACTCCGTAGTTTCTGCCAAAAGGGTGGAAAATTTTCTCTTGTGGGAACTGGACTTGTTCAGACCCGAGCTCATCGTGCGCAGTTCTTATTTATTTTAATCATTTCATTTAACCTTATGCTGCCCTGTCTCATTTTTCTGTTTCTTTTTGGTCTATGCAGAAAGTCTACATGTACTTCCAAGGGCACGAGTGAAGCTGACGCTTGGAGTAAGTTACCATCTTCTTGATCAGTCTTTTTCCCTTTTTTTCCATCGTCTTTTTGTAACAGATTGTCTTCCGAATACTGGGCTCTGAAGAATGTTGTGTACGGATCTAATTGTAATTCATATATTTCTTTGTGCTGTTCAGATATTCAACTCCTTACTTGTGGGTTCAGTAGAACTTTGTCGTCCGGGTCTTCTGGAATCTGGAGCATTAGCATTAAGCCAAACTATAGCCTGGGTGCATACTGCATACTCTTCGTTGCAAAGGTTGTTTTAGGCTACGTACTGTGGGTTTCTTTTCTCTTCAATCTGTTGGCTGTGATAAAATATTCTTTATACAATGATGATTTATACCTTGGAATCCTAATTGATTTTGGATTCTTCAGCTTAGGTTGACCTATTTTATTTGACTAATGACCCCCACTGAACGAATCCGCTGGGATTGAGAAGGTCCACGGAAACAGACAGCTACAATGGTCTTATTTGTTAATGTCTTGCCTTTCTAACCTTGATGCCAAGCAGCAGCTACCTATTCAATTACAGCCACCTTTATCCTCTGATGCGGGCTGAACCAGCGGATTGTTCGTCGCTATAACTTTGCTATCTTGTAATTGTTTTCACATGCAGTTCTCCTATTCAGTTTTAAACTTGCGCAATCTGTATTAACCAATGCAATGTCACTGTTTCTCTGTGTAATTTTATTTGGCTTTGCCTGCAAATAAATTTGCAGCTTGAACCCTGCCTGCATGCTGAAATTTGGGCAGGTCATTGATCGTAAATGGAGATATTTTTTCGCGACTGCACTCGCAACTGGAGAGTTTCGACTATCTATTTTATGGATGACGATGTCGAACTAACCCAACGAATCGATCGAAATTGGGATCGCAGGGCGTGAGGCGGTAAAACGGTGGCAGTTGTAATTTGTTTCTGTATTGTCTTGAGATGGAAAGGACAATTACAGAGGCCTCAAAAACCATGTAAACTGTTCTTGTAACCATCTTCCAGCAATGTTCTTTCTGCTGTTTCGCCTTGGAGCCTCAGCTGGACAATGTATTCATTACTCACTTTATTCCTTGGTATCACCCCAATACTTAAAACTGAATTTAATCAACTTTCTCTTGGTTTTGATTCCATGGTGTTAATTTCAATCTCAAATGGCACTTGTAAGTGTTGTTCTTCTTCCTTGATCATCCAATTTAGGTTTCTTACTTGCTGATAGCATTTACAAAGACATAAATTTAGGTATCACCCAGTACTTAACCTTTTTTTTTTTTTTGACATGAAGTACTATTTTGATAATGCAAGTGAAGACTTAGACATGCAGTATTATATGCTCCCCTCCGTTAGAAAGCTAGGGATGCATGCCGCAGCTGCGGTCAGATACCGTCTAGCAGCAGAAGACTCGAACCTCAGGATTGCTTCCTGTATTCAAAGACAGCCA